CTTTCCCCAGATTGTCCATGAGAAGCTCCTCACCTACATTCCCAGGATGTGGACCAGTATTTGCATGAAGGGCCAGCCCACAGATGTTCTGGTCTCTTGGAGGTCAAGACCTGAGTCAGGACTCAGTCACAACTTAGAGTTCTGATCTTGGAGGAGATGAGGGAAACAGCTGCTTATAGGTGGTTTTAGTATCTCACAGTTGGAAACGTCTTCCCTCTGTAGCATCGATTCATTGTGAAGGCCATGGGCTTTTAGCCCAGTGACAAAAAACATACTCGGCAGGCTGGAAGAAGCCATGACCTCAGGAGGGCACCAGCTTCTGCTTCTGATGAAGACCCCCACTCTCTACCCCTGGCAAAGAGTATCTTTACCCTCCATTTAGGCTCTTGTCTCTCAGCTTCAGCTCCATGCTTACACAGGGAAGGTCCCTATCTTTCATCTCAATAACCAGGTAGCTACACTTTATATGTTGATGGGGGTTCTGATTCTAAAACTGAAGTTTAGATATAGAGGTCTCTAAAGACCTAGTTTAAGGTCTATGTCATTCTACAAAGGACAGAGGTCCATGGAAAGGACCAGTAAGAAACCTTCCCCAGAAGGCCCCAAGATGTGCTCTTGGTCACACAGGACCACGTGGACAGATGTGGCAGTATCCCAAGAGATTTCTTTCTGGGCACAGGGACGGGTCTCTCCGTGAGCCAGATGAGTTTGGAGCTGTGGGATGACAATCCCCAGTCACTGGGGTGAAGTCATAAGGTGGCTAGTATTGGTCACAGCTGCAGCGTGCACAGAATGCCTGCCTGATCCCATTGCAGAGAACACCAGAGGTCTTTGATGGAGCTCTCCCAGGGTTCGGGCAATGTCTGGGGCTTGCGAAACCACAAATGCTTTTTCTCAGCCACTTTTTTGCCTTTCATCTGCTTTGTCCTTCCTGTGTGTGCAGCGAGATGGAGCCCATGTGTTCCCGGGGCCTTTGTTGAGTTTACTGCAGTATGAATATTCTGGGAGGTTGTTGGAATTTCCCATGGTTGGGGTCCTCTGCCTTTGAGGGAAGACACATCTGCTGTGAGGTGTGCTCTACCACACCTGATGTGGTGTTCTGCCACCAGGATATGGGATGGTGGCAATGGCCCTCCCATCCTCTCCTTAAAGAAGCCACAGTCTGTCTCCTGAGACTGAACATGGTGAGTCCAAAGCAGCTTTTACTCTGGTGATGCAGCTCTCTGATCCTGGCAACTAGGGAAGTCGAGGCAGGAGGATGACAGTTTTGTGGGCTATTGGAGGTTCTAAAGTTCTGCCTGGATAACTTAGAAGGAAGGTAGGGCAGTGGGTTGTTGGCAGAGGTCTTACCTAGCATGCAAAAGGACCTTGTCTTCACCCCCCATCACCAACTGCAAAGAGATTCTAACAGCCGGAGCAGGGGGCATGCACACAGCCCGAGCCTCCAGAGCTCTAGGAGTCCAAGAGAAAAGGGTCCTTTCCCATCACTGAGTAGAGTCTCCCATCTCCTGCAAGTGTAGAGAACAAAATCACTAGAAAAACCTGGGATTTCTTTTTTTCTGATCATAGCAGGCTATGAAGAACATACGCAGATCTTGGGAGGGCTTTGGCTCAGGGACAGAGGACTCACTACGTTTGTGTCAGGCCCCTCATTCAGTCTATAGACTGCCAAGGAGAAAAATCAGTCCCAATCTAGTGACCAGAGTTAAGAGTAAACCACTGTGTAAACGCTGTGATGTTTCCCTTCCAGCACGTGTTTTTGTCTCCTAAAAGAGCGATGAAGTTATCACATGTTCATACACCACTGCATCATAATCATCTTGCTTGTCATTGAGCATTCTTTGTGGGTGTCATCTCCTACGATAGCTTGCTGTTCTGTTGGGAGGCTGCACTGCCGTTTCCTTACCCAATCTTGGCCATCTACACTGTTCCCAAGTTTTTGTTTTATAAATAGTATGTATAAAGCACTTTTGAGTTTTCTAGAATTGCTTATGATGTTCAAGGATAGAGTACACAAAGGTTACCAAAACCCATCTGCAAAGCATGGCTGTCACAGACCGCAGGTTGGGGCCAGGTGACGATGTGTGCAGGACTCTAGCTATGGCCATGACACTGACAACATCTAGTTTACATCCTTGAAGCACTTGCTGGATGTGAGGATCCGCAGCGTGCATCAACATCCCAAAGGAAGAGATGCTGTGCCCACAAGGGTCTATCCATGGATTTCGGCATGGGGGTATACTGTGTATATTCATCTTCCGTTTTCCAGAGTATTCCCCAGAATCATTTTGTCTACACAGCTTCAGGGTCTACCCTTTCACAGATCATTTGGGGTGTATGTGGTGAAGTGGATTGTTTTCCTTTCATAGTTTTCATAATAGAAAAAAATTTCAAGAAGCGTCATTCACATGTCCAATAGAGATGGTTTGATTTGGGGGAACTTGAGGTAGGGTATAGCATCTGCCAGAGCCCATACTCCACAGGTGGAATACAGATGTCAGCAGTATTTGTCACCCATCCTTGCAGGGATGATCTGTTTACATGAGCATCTGTCCTTGGCAGCATGAACCTGTTGTCAGAGCACTGTGTGATATAGAGACATGGCATCTGGTGATACAAACCATTATTACCTCATCCCCCTGCCAGAACCTCCATCCTCATCTGGTTTCTAGGAGTTCAAAAGGCTTCTCTTACTGTGCGTGTGTGTCAGAAGGGACAGCTGTATGGAACTGGCAAGCAGATTCAGGCACTCTGTATGCTTCATGCTGTCACTGAGAACTGCAACTATGGGTGCCTGTGGAAGATCATGGGTATCTCTTGTGTGTCTTTTCTCCACTTTGTACCAGTCACTTCTGTTTGGCTAGTTTGTCCTGTGGGGAACTGAAGGGCCCTTGTCCTGGCAACCCCCTATCCAGACATCTTTAATTACAGGGCTTCTGCAAACTCAGCTTGTTTAAAGACTTCAAAGATTTTTGTCAAACCCATAGTCTGGACAAGTGAGTTTTAGGCTTGTGATTCATCAGCTCCCTTTCCCTGGGCTCTCCTCCTCTTCTGCAGCTTGAGTGGCCACGCCCCCATCTGAGGGCCTATGTACGTCAGGCCATGCTTTGACCCTGTAGCTCACCTACTATATCTTACCTGGCTGGCTAACAAGTCTGTGTGCTCAAACTCCAGTTGTTGCTTCTCCAGGTCCAACAGAGTTGCTTTTCTCCCTCTCAGACTCCTGGCTTCTGCAGAATAGACCCCTTTCTCTGTCTCTGTGGTTCTCTCTTCCTTTGATCTCTTGTTTGCTCCAGACCCACAAGCATTTAGTCTATAAAGGGCTCAGAGAGGAATCTTGCAGTGCCCTGTAATTTATACAGCCATTACTGACATAGTAGGATGCCCATTCTTATTTGACCTACCTCCACTGGCCAAAAGCAATAAGCCCATCCAGGGACAGATGGGGATGGAAGAAGAAGCAGGTACTACCCACCCCTAAAATGTAATGAATACAGGGCTCTTTATGGCTTGAGAAAAATATTCAAGTAACACTAAGCATTGTCAGTGACCACTTCCAACAGAATGCAAATTAAATGCCAAATATAATCCTGGGGTTGGGGAGGAACAGCCACAAAGCTGTCAACGAGTGTCATTAAGACGCGTTTGGTTGAGAGTGGAGGCTCGTGCCTGTAATCTCAGAATCAGGGGCTAAAGCAGGAAGATTGCTGGAGGTTCTGGGCTAGGCATGGGCTACAGTATGGACCCTTTTGTCAGCCCTCTCTCCTCCAAAGGAAGCACTTCCTCATGGTGGGACTTGCCTTAGCTGCCTAGGACCTGAACTTACATATACAGTTATTCTCTTTTTCTCTCTAGAAAGGATATTTTTAATAATGCAGCTTTATTAAAACTCCATGTAACATAATTCTTATGTATGTGATAATTTTAGTGAAATATTTTATACATAAAAAGATACTATATAATTAATAAGTAAATATTTCAAAGGCATTTTATAAGTAAATATAACACAGATAATATAAACCCAGTGACAGATATTGGGGTTCAAGCTGAAGATCAGAGAAGCAAAGCAGTCAAGCCGGTAGCTCTTGCCTCTACCAAACTGAAATGGAGATCCTGTCTCCATGAATCCTCAGAGGCAAATGCTCTGAGTTCTCCTGCTTTATTTTCTTTTCTCCGCCCAGTCATATTACTCCTGTCTCCACCTCCCTAGTGTTGGGATTAAAGGTGTGATCCTAAGTACTGAGATCTCCTTTGTGTGAGCTGTTTCTTTTTAGACTGATTCACTCTTGTAGCCCTGGGTGGTCTTGCACTCACAGAGATCCATCTGTCTCTGTCTCCTGAGTCTTGGGATTGTACCACCACTGTCTGACCTCTACGGTGTGTGGTTAGCTTTGCATTCGGAACCCCCAGGCAAGTTTTATTCAATCATAAATAATATATCATCGCAAGTAAATAATTGTTTTTCAAGGCAGGGTTTCTCTATGTAGTCTTGGCTGTCCCAGTATTCAAGCTCTGTAGACAGGACTGGCCTCAAACTTGGAGATCCACCTGCCTTTGCCTCCCAAGTGCTGGGATTAAAGGCCTGCGCCACCACTGCCCAGCTACAAATAAACATCTATTATTCTTTCTTTACACATTTGTAAAGCCATCAAATAAAGCATTTTGCGTTTAGAAATTAGTATATTTTTTAATGCAGACAGGCTATAAAGTATATTAAGCACTACTCTTTAGATCAATAACTCTAATAGTTCTGTTTCGATCAATATAAAGTATATTAAGCCTTACTCTTTAGATTTCATTAACTTAATGTTAAAAATAATTCAAGGAGTATTGAAATATGTAGGATGTACTTGTGTGTGTGGTGCTGGTGATCGGACCCAGGGCCTTGCACACACTAGTCAGCAGGATAAAGTACTCTTCTAGGTCAAACAAGACTGTGCAACAGGACCCAGGGCTCCGCTCCTTACAGCATACTGATCTACTGCTCTTGCTCTCCCCAGGTATAGGCAAGAACGTCATCTGTGACCGTACTGCCACGCCACTAGACGCCTTCCGCATGATGTCAGCAGCCCACTACTACCCCAAGCTCATGAGCATCATGGGCAACGTGCTGCGCTTCCTGCCCGCCTTCAGGCGCATGAAGCAGCTGATCGAGGAGGGCTACGTGGGCGAGCTGCTGGTGTGCGAGGTGCAGGTGCACAGTGGCAGTCTGCTAGGCAAGAAGTACAACTGGAGCTGCGACGACCTGATGGGCGGTGGCGGCCTGCACTCCGTGGGCACCTACATCATCGACCTGCTCACCTTCCTCACAGGCCAGAAGGCCGTGAAGGTCCACGGGCTGCTCAAGACCTTTGTAAAGCAGACGGACCACATCAAGGGCATCCGGCAGATCACCAGCGATGACTTCTGCACCTTCCAGATGGTGCTGGAGGGTGGAGTGTGCTGCACCGTTACCCTGAACTTCAACGTTCCTGGAGAGTTCAAGCAGGACGTGACTGTGGTGGGCTCTGCTGGGCGTCTCCTGGCAGTGGGCACTGACCTCTACGGGCAGCGCAATAGTGCCCCGGAGCAGGAGCTGTTGCTGCAGGACACTACGTCGGTGAGCAACTCCCTGTTGCCTGAGAAGGCATTCAGCGACATCCCCTCCCCCTACCTGCGGGGCACCATGAAGATGATGCAGGCAGTGCGCCAGGCCTTCCAGGATCAGGATGACCGGCGCACGTGGGACGGCAGGCCTCTTACCATGGCTGCCACCTTTGACGACTGCCTGTATGCTCTCTGCGTGGTAGACACCATCAAGAGGTCCAGCCAGACTGGAGAGTGGCAGAACATTGCTATCATGACAGAGGAGCCGGAGCTGAGCCCCGCTTACCTGATCAGTGAAGCTATGCGCAGAAGCAGGATGTCCCTCTACTGTTAGCACTGGGACCTGGCGGACTCGACCTGCTGCGTGGGGCCACTTAGGGGGAAACGCACTGTGGAGAGGGCAGCCGTGGGTGGGGATTGCGGGAGGGACAGCATGAATGCATAGCACGTAAGAAGGCGGCTCCCATCCTAGGCAGAGGGTCCCAATCATAGGTGGTGGTAGGTGGATTTCATGTTCAAGAGGGTGTGCCATCCTAATTGGGTATCAGATAAAAGGAAGGCGGTTTAACTAGCACCTTGTAGTCCACTACTGTGAGAAGCAAGGAGGGCTTGCCCCCTGCCCTACCTCATCCATCTACATACCTTGGCTTTCTTTGTAAGCTAAGGCTGTGTATCCCGTGACAAGCTCAGTGGGAGCTAGGCTTTCTGTCAGCGCCCCCCACTGGCAGGAGAAGGCACACCACCAAATGTCTGCAAAGGTTTTTGGTTTTTTTGGTGTAGAGGGGTAGAGGAGGTGGTGGGTGGGGCCGGTGAGAAAGTTGTAATTCCCGGAAGCCACTGCGTTTTACTTCAAGGATCTGAGGGGAAAGTATTTGGTAGCAGAGTGCACGGCTTCTTGGTTTCTCTGTGTCCTAGGAAGCACGAGGGCCCGTCTAACTGGCTCATTGCTGTTCCCCTGGTACAGTGGGTGTCTGTGATGGAGAGTGGACGAGGTGACTAAGATGACAGACGAGCTGCAAGGAGCCATTTCACATCCCCCCTTCAGTGGGTGGTGGAACCCGGTGTGAGTGGCAATCAAGTTGTCCTGCCACGAGGCTCTCTGGGCAGCGCTAAGCATGCCACAGGTCACATGGGCTTGGCTGTAGCTGCCTGCCTAGGTCAGGACAGCTACAGACCTGGGTGTTGCTGTATGGGCTCCCCAAAAGCAGAACATGAGCCCAGCCCCAGTTACTGCAAGCCCAACTGCCACGCTGAAGAAAGATTAGACATTTGTGGGTTTAAATAGGAAGCTGCTAGCGTCACTCCCATAGACTCCTTCTTAAGAAGAGTCAAGGCTCTTTCCTTTACCTTTGGCCTTGCCTTTCAGGGTTCTGACTGCTGGAAACTTTTGAATAGGTATTCAGACAAAAAGCCAACAGGGAACAGTGTTTCTTAAAATAGGAATTTAGATCCCCAAGAGGGGCATACATAGGTGGAGAAGGTTCACAATAGGGAAAAAACAAAAAATCTCTTACTTTGTCTCCTGGTCCCCTTGTCTTTTTACTCTCCATGTGAAACTAGAGATGGCCAAGGACTGGCTTAGACCAAGCCTATTGCTACATAGACACACCTTTGTAAATGTTCGCCATCCTCCAATATCACTACAGGAGTCTTTAAAATTTGAATCCGGTCTTGAAAGGTCAGGTCACATACACGTGGGAAATAGAGAGTTCTCTTTTTCTGGGTTGGCTTTGCTAACCTTCACCTGGCATGTGGCAGTTTTGAGCCTGGGGATATATAGACCAGTCCCCATAAGCAGTCTGCCTAGAACAGTCACACTCATACTGGAGCCCACACACCAGTGGGATGATGGTCATTTTCTACCACCAAGGAGTGAGTGTTGCCTTGCTAGGGGCCCTCCTGCAACATGGTAAAGTCAGTCAATTGAAAACCTTCCCTGGCTCTAATTAGCTGCCACCCCTAGTGGCCAGCACTCCAGATCAAAACTGGCAATCTGTGTACAGGGCCACATCAAAGACCTTTTTTTGTTTGTTTCTCTCATAAATTGCTCTCTAGGAAAATAATTTTCCCCTAGCTACCCTGGAAAGCTGTGATTAAGGATAGAATTGGGGGCATGGTAGATGACTTGGTGGAGTTCATTTTTTCAAGTCATTTACCTAATAAGATATTCTTGAGAGTTCAATTTTTTTCTCTACTTTCCCCCATGATATTTGACGTTTTCCCTGTGATAAACATGCCTGATCTAAAACAAAAACTCTCATTTGAGGTTAAGAAAGCATATGTGTTATTTGAAAGAGTAGGACGTATACTGAAATTGTATCTACAAATGCATGTGGTAGAGGGAAACAGGAGGGGATGGGGGCAGGTGGTTCGTTGAATGTAAAAGGGCAGCAGATGGTTTCAGGGGCTTCTGTAGTGCTCCTTCAGCCCTTGATGTCCCCACGTGCAGATTCTTGATTGGCAGCAGCTATGTGAGGCTGGAATCCAAGTTTTCAACAACATTCCACAACTGACTTTGATCTAAGTCCTGGCAACAACCAGTCGCTTTCTAATTTCTTTTACATGGCTTAAAGGCCTGGTAGAATGGAGGCTTTTTGGGGCCTTCTCATTCATTTTCCCCTTGCCTTTCCTGTACACACACACACACACACACCCCTACTCTACAGAAGTCCAGATTTTAAAGCAAGTATACACATGTGTTTGGAAATGTTCTGGGGTTTATCTGCAAAGTTTGGAGTCTAGAACTCCTCCGTGGCCACTGTCAATTCCTCTAAGACTTCTCCTCTCAGCGATAAAATTGCATCATGCAATTCCTTCAGAGCATCTTTGTTTCCTTGGCAACACAACCCACAGTGTTAGATCCTGTCAGCACTCAAGGTCCAGTGTCACCTGGCTACCCACCAAATGCAGAGTGTTGTAGGCACATCTTACTGTCTATAAAAATAGTATGGAGTACTGTCCCATTCCCTCTGTGTATATATGAAGATGTAACATGCCCAAAGCCACACAGAGTGAGCAGACCACAACTTTGCAATTTTGTCGTTCTTGCCAGAACAAGCATTCCTCATGAAGCCTGTAGGGGGTGTGCTCCCACCCCAAGGAGCAACTGTAAGAAGAGTGGCTGAGATCCACAACACTCTCCTTGTTGAGCAGGATACTGAATTTGATGTCCTGCCAGCAAGTTGGCAATTACCACTGCAAACAGAAGTGGCTGGTTTTTCTTCCCCTTCCCAAATGGAAATGTCACTCAGCTTCTTTTTAAATGGATTTCCTATGTTGATTTTTAATTGTAAATGACTCAGCAACCCTCAGCACTGGGGACTTTCTAAGCATTGTTAGCTGTGATAGGTGGCCTTGGGTTTTGTTGCTGGGGCCTGAGTGTAACATAGGAAGACATCTTTTCCCAGGAAGGGGGGCTTTGGGGTTTGTTTGGGAACTTGGGTTTTAGCTGTGTGCATTGTTCCATCAATACTTCATCTTGTCCAGCGAGTGTAGCTATTGAACTTGACTCCTGGTTATGAATTAGGTTTCTGATCAGGTCTCTTTTTCCAGTGGGTACTGGAGGAAATAAGCTTTGTTAAGGATGCCCTGGGAGAAAGTCAAGCCAATAGGGCATGAGAGGACTTCAGTGGCATCTATCAGATTCTTCCTTTGACATCCCAGAGAGGAATGTAATGGCCAAGGTCATCCACTTTTTTAGTGGTAGATCCACGTTGGGAAGACCATTTTCCTGATTCTCAGTTTCTCCCTGACTTAACTGCCTCTCCAGGACTACCACATAGGGAAGGGAGGCTCATCCAGGCGATCAATCTGGCTAGGTGATAAAGGCCAGAATGAGGGCGCAGACCCTTGATGGACAGTATTCACTGAGCTGTGACACATAAACCCATACTTTACAAACATGTTACAAGACTGTGTGTGTTAGGGACAGAACCCAAGGCTTTGTGCATGCTAGGCACGCTCTCTACCACTCAGCTACACCTCTAGCCTCAACTGTGTCTTGGAGGTATTCAGAAAACCTGTTTCTATAGCAGAAGGGTTCTCTCTAATCTGCACCTTTCTGGAGACTAGGGGACATAGTCAGACTTGAGGCCCACTCTACTGTTGCCTGTTGTCCCGGTGCTGAATGCAAATCTTGACTCTCACTAGCCAATGACTCTTATTCCATTCACCGCTGATTTCCTTTGCCCACCAAACCCCTGAAATTTGCAGGACAAGGTGATGACACTGGGGAACTTGAGGGAAATAGCACCTGCTAGATCATCCTGTTTGTTTCCTTTGGGCAAGGGAGGGGTGAAGAAGGGAACATTTCACGAGTCTTCAGTGTGGCTTCAGGGTCTTCTCCAGCACTTGTGCTGTTCTGCTGGCCCACCCTGGTCGGTGTTGGCCGGTGGGTCATGCTCTCAGTTTAGCTGGAGCTTCCAGAACTTCTCTGCAGAGCTGTTACGCCCTCTTGTACTTCTCAAAAGTGTGTGGTTGGTGGTCTCCTTAGAGTTTGGCAATCTGAACGATTGTATCAGTAAAGAGAAGGTAGGTGACCCAACTGGCCTTTTCTTCCCTGCATCAGGGTTCTTATTTGCTGGAGCCCTTGAGAGGGCCAATGAAGCCCTGGCTCTCTTCCAGGCCACTGACATGTTGCACTACTGAATACTCTCAAATCTGCTGCAGCCTTTTGTTTATACCAGCAGAGAACAGAATGATCAAAAGAACATTCTAGTTGAAATGCTTGATGCTTAGTGCAGTGATCAAAGCTTGCCTGGGCCAGTAGAGCAGGGAAGTCATCACGGCCATGGAGTCACTGTGTCAGTGTTGTCTCCTGTGCCCTGTCCAGCTCTCTGCTGTCCCCTGCAGCCACCACAAGGGCTAGGCTGTTCAATGAGCCCCATAGCTTCTAAGAAATGCAATGGCTTATTTGTAGTGCTAAGTGACATCCCAGGTGAAGAAGCAAAAGCCTATGACCTGCCCTTCCCTGTCCCTGTATTCTGCCCTGTCCCTTGTTTAGGGGAGGGAGAACTTTCTAGCAATTATGGCTTTGTTTGCTGCCTGGTGCTTTTATAGTATGTCATTTGTTTTCATGTCCTCTTTTAAAACCAAAATTGAATTGGTTTGGTTGTCATTGTCAAGTGTATATTTATTGCTTTACAAATGTGAGTATGTATGTATGTGTATGTATAAAACCAAACTTATATATAAAAAGTCAAGGCATGTATACTAGATATTTTAAAGTTATTTATCAAAGGGAAAAGATGTGTGTTATAAAGTAAAACAGAGTCTATATTTTATATATAATGTAGATAGCAAAAGATAGCTTATAAATTATAGAAGGTTTTACTTTCTGTTTTCTATTATTAAACAAAAAATACAGAATTTTGGAAAGGTATTTAAAAACTAAAGGAGAACAAATGCAACAGTGCTTAATATTTTCAAGGCAAACTGATAGGGAGTTGGAGTTGGCCTGCCCTCCCTCTGCAGTTCCAGGCTGAGTGGATGATAACCCCTGGTGCCTGTGTGATGCTCTGGACCAGGGTAGGCACACTCAGACAGCTGTTTGGACTGCTACAACACTGCTTTCAGCTGTTCATGAATGGCTTTGATGGGATGAGTGTTGGTGGGAGAAAGTTTGAAAGCTGCAAATAAAATCTTCAAAGAAGTGATTCCGGCCTGGTCGTGTTTTTCTAATCCCAGATGCTTTTGACTTGGGGGCTGCTCAGTGTGTGGGCTCTAAAGCAGAAAGGGTATTTTTGAGGGAGGGGGCTTTGGGTTGAGGGTTCTGTCATCATCCATGAAGCTGAAAAGGTGGGAATCATTGAATATCTATTGGAGCAATCTGTTTCAAATCAATCACTATTCTGAAAATGGTGAAATAGAGCCTACTTAAGGCTTTGGGTGTGCATGTGAGTGTGTGGCAAAGGCTAGACCAGAGAAGATAAAAGCACAGCTTTTACATCAGAGGAGCAGAGTTAAGAATTTTCTCAGCCGGGCGTTGGTGGTGCACACCTTTAATCCCAGCACTTGGGAGGCAGAGGCAGGCAGATCTCTGTGAGTTCAAGGCCAGCCTGGTCTACAGAGCAAGTTCCAGAACAATACAGAGAAACCCTGTCTCGAAAAACCAAAACAATAAAAAATAAAATAAGATAAAAAAGTTCTCGGTCAATATCATAATGCCAATTCAGTGGTACATACCTATAATCCCAGTATTCTAGAAGTAGAGACAGAAGAACCAAAAGTTTGAGTCCATCCTTGGCCACAAACAGAGCAAGTTTGAGTCAGCTTGGGCTACATGAGATCCTGTCTCAGAAGCTCCCAAACCAACAAGAAGGCACTTCCTGACAAGCTCTCTTAAGAGCATCTTTGTCTGCCTAGTGTTTTACAGCATTTGAGGACAGCCATTTTGGACTGAGCTCAACTTAGTTGGAAATCTGCATTATATGGAGTCCCCCATGATAGATAGGCTTGACCTTCCTTCTGTTATGCCTTAACAGAAAATGCACAATCGTTTCTTCTGGTCTGCACCTTCCCTTTACTTTAACAGCTCAAAAAGATAATTAGTATCACAAAATCCAAAACTTCCTTATTCACAGATACCAACATGCACACAATCCATCCCCTCATAACATCTTTTTTTCCTGCAAATTTCTGCATCCACACACACGAGTACATTACCCAGGATAATACTACACCTTTGGATTCTTCAGTGAACCTCATCAGTTCTAATCAAGGCAGTGCAGGAAAATGAAAGAACCACCTGCCCAATGGTGGCTTTTGTTGAGATTGGACTGCAGCCTCTCCACTTCTCCCAGTGAGCTATCCCGGAAACCAACGCTCAATGCAAATCGCAATCCTAAGTACTTAGACACACTTCAGTCTAGAAACTAAGTCTTCTTTCCCAGGTTGTAGGCTTTCTGTGTGATGCTGTCTGCTCCAAAGTTGGCATCATTTCTTGCTTCATAAAACAAGAATCATGCAGGTTGAATATTCCTAACCTGAAAAATCTGAAAGCCCAAATGCTCTGAATTCTGAAGCCTTTTGTGCACCAAAATGAACTTTGTAGCATTTTGGCTTTGGATTTTCCCAGGAGGGATGCTCAACCAGTATTCCCATATTCCCCAATCCTCAAACATCAACCCAGACTCCCCCAAAACCAGCAAGTGGAGCATGCCCGAGAATCTCAACTACACTGGGACCAAGCATGGATTAGGAATACGCCATCTGCCCTGCTTCACGTGGAGTCATAGACTAGATTAGGCCTGTTGCCAGGCTCTGACTACTGCCCTATGCACTGGCCACAGTTTTCTAGCACGCCATCCAGGTTCCTCATGGGCCAAATGGGAACTCCGTGTGTTCTCCCATATCTGTCTGTCCACCCCATCCCACCCCTAAAAACAGCCCCACCTTCTAGTTTCCCTTCCTACCTTTTTTTGGGGGGGGCAGGGCTTCTCTACAGAGCACTAGCTATCCTGAAACTGACTATATAGACCAGGCTTGCCTTGAACTTACCTGCCTCTGCCTCTTAAATTCTGGGATTAACCTACATCAGTATTTATTATTTTATGATTTTCTATTCTTCTCATGTATTTCTGTATTTATTGTGACAAGTCTGGTTGGTTCCATTAAAAATGCAGTACTGCCATATTTTATGGTGAATCACATGTATACAAAGTATGTGGAAATCTGTGTTAAAATGGGAAAATCACTAATTTAAGCAATAAGGTCCTACTTACTGAGTCACGTCTGCCTTGTTCTTGCCTGAGCAGAAAAGGTCTCATCGGCTGGGTCTCTCCAGACTTTGTTCCACCCCCTGTTAAAGGCTGTTCAAGACAGCTAGATGAGATGAAAAGTACTTCTTCCCACAGAGTTGGCTCAAAGTGACAACACACAGCTTTGTAGCTCTCTGGAAACAAAACCTGCTTGGAGAAAGCTTGTGCCAGTAAAACCCTTCCTTCAAATGCCTTTGCCTGCTCCTTCAAGCCTGGGCTTCCCTTGACTCTTATCTCTGAGTCTGCATCTGCTGGGTAAATTCCTGAGCTATGACTGCCTATGTGGCAAGACTGAGGCCCAGCCACAGGTCTGCAAGATAAACTCCACAGAATCTAACGGGGTGCCTGGACTTCCTCTAAAATGTTGTACTAATTACAGAAGTACCTTTATCTCCTAATTACACACAGATTCAGATTGCTTTGGAGCAAACCACACTTTTCCCTTCAGTTGATCTGTGAAAATAGAAGATTAAATAACTTAAAGGGAGGTTTTCTAGGGCAATTACAGTTGTCCCTTAGTATCCCAGAGGGATTTGGTCCAGCATCTCTACATATGCCCAAGCCCATGGGTGGCTCAGGTCCTTCCTGTAAAATGGCATGACATTTCATGGACCCTACATTATCCTCCATATACTTTAAATCATCTCTGGGTTACTTATAGCAAACATAGGAGTGGGTGAGATGGATCAGTGGGTAAAGGTGCTTATGGCTAACCCTGAGTTTGATCCCTGAGAGTTCATGTGGACTGTAGAAGGAGAGAACCAACTTTTAAGAGTTGTCCCTCTGACCTCCACATGCATAGTGTGGTGCGCGCGCGCACACACACACACACACACACACCAGATGTTTTAAAATATCAAATGCAATGTCAACACTATGCAAATAGCTGTTAGACTTATTGCTTAAGGAATAGCAAGACAGTCTGTAATGTCCAGTCCACGTTTCATGTTTTAGTGAAACTCTAGTCAGCAACTCAAACTGTTTTCGCAATAAAGAATTTTATTACAATTCAATCCAAAGATATACTAATTTGATGTTTACTTGCTGAAGAATGATGGCAGGAGACATTAAAAGTCGCTTTTTCTGTAATTAAACCACTGTGTTTCCATAAGAGCAGAAATGTTTTCACAGTGAAAGCACTGCAGTTCCCAACACTGGACAGCTTTGACTCCACGCTGAGAGTTTTGAACAGCATTCCTTAGTGGCATGCAGCATGATGACAGCATGTTCTGTGTAAAGTGCACGTGTTGTATGCTCAAAACCAAGGCAGTAAAGTTACAAGATACTGAAAGGCAAGTACTGCTAACAACACCTGGATTTGGCTTTGAATTAAGTTTTGGTGATACACATTCATAAACCTTTACTGTTGCTAATGTTCTTGGTGACAAGTATATTCAGTTATGTGGCCCTCATGAAGTGTCAATTCATAGTTTAAAAATCTGGTACAGTTGAATTCATTTCCTGGTCATCAATGGGACTCAGTCATAAAAACCAGAATCTGTCTATACCATTGTCTTCTTCCATTCCTTATTGACCATCAGTTCCCTAAGAAGGAATCCCAAGATAACCCCATGTGGATCAGTTGATGGACAGAGCTTGTATACAAGTCAAGGATCAGCCAAAACCACCCCTAAGCCACTAATTCTTAGAATGAGAGGGTCTCAAACAAGTCTAAGTTAGGGTAGGATTCCACCCTCTTGGGAAAGGGTTGATCACTTCAGATACTGCACCAGAAAGGACCAAGCACATCAATTATCTAGGTCACCCCAGGGGAAGACAGTAAGCCTAGAGACCCACTGTATTCTTGGGCTTCATCTGGAACATGTCTGCCAACAGATTAGGTGGCTCTTCTGTGTGCAAAGCAGAGGAATCTGGACTGGATACTTAGGTTTCTGGCACAGAGTAGGAGACAGAACTAGCCTCCAAATAGCAGCTGTGAAGGAACAACACTACGCAGATCATGGAAGAGGCTGTGTGTGGGAGGGGAGGAGGGGGAGGGATGGCAATAACAGGAGAGCAAGGGGAACAGAGGGCAGTAGCTAAATGATAGCTGCATGGCAAGGGTAAAGACAGATGGGAAGGGATAAAGCAGACGAAATGCCAGAGAGCCAGGCATTCAAGATATGTAAGGCTATGCAGATAAGCAAATGCCGCATGAGAGATGTGGAGTCAGAGCTCCTTGCAGGAAACAGGCCTTAATCTGTGCTCCTAGAACAGCTTGTTTGAGGAGGAGGATGGCGATGAGAAGGAATGACGGAGGAGTTTCTGCAGGAAGTTTATGAAATCTGGCTGTCCAAAGCTATCAAGCTGTTTGCATTTGTGGAAAAATGTTCAATGTCTCCCACTGTGCTTTAAGTAAGTGACATCTATTGTGTCCCCTCCTTTCTTGTTGTTTTTCCCATTTGCAGATTCCCCAAACCTGGCAAAGACACAAAGGCTGCCATTTCACCCTGTCCTGTCACCCTGTCCTGGGTCTTTTGGCCCTTACCGCTCAGTGTCTGCCATTTACCTTTTGGCATTAACAGGGCTTCTTCACCCTTCTCAGCTTTCAGAGAGCATGCCCACAAGACTGTCACGCAGTCTCCCTTCTCTTCCTACACTAGACATTCTGGGGAAGTTCCCAGCACAGCAGGTCTGACCTGCACAACCGGAAGCTCATCGGGTGAGCCTCCGGGCTTCTTTTCTTAGACTCCCTAACTCCGCCCTTGGACCTGGTCTGGATCTCCTGTCTTGTTGGGTTTCCTGTGACATCCAGGTTCTCCCTTATTTGCAAGAAGACTCTCTTACTTGGTCATATTTATTCATCCAGGCATCTGGTATGTATCCAGCCACGCATCTGATCTATTCACCCATGCTTTCAGCCATGCACCTGATCTGGCCAGCCATGTATCCAGCCA